ATCAAAAAGTAGAATTTTTTATTTTTATTTTTGTGTATAATATTTTATTATGTAAATGTGTAGAGTGATGCTTCAGAACCCGGGATGAAAATCCCGGGTTCCGTTCCAGGGTCGAGGTGGCAGCACCTCAACCCTGGATCTTCACACTTGCGGGGCCTGCCTCTTTTACATTGGGGGCCGGTGGCAGCACCTCAACCCCTGGACTGAATCCTGGGATTTTATCTCGGGATCTCCAGCTTTTTTCAAATGTGTGACTGAAAATAAAATTATTTATTTACCACGAGGCAGCCAATCTATGAAATTATTTATTTACCACGTGGCAATCATTCTACACATGTATGGTCTGAATTCTTGTGGCAATATTCTTCGATGATATCACACGCTGACTTTTTTTAATTATTATTCAGTTATATTATTTAAATTTCAGTCAAAATATATGTGGTCGTCGGCTCTGTTTAATTTACGGATTAGTGTGATTTTTGAGGTCGTAACTGTTGTGCTGGATATGTATATTAAACAAAGTTAAAAAATAAATTCTTTTACTATATATAATATAATATTGTCCATAATTGAATTACAAATTTAGCTGAGCGCAAATACGACCATTTTATTCTTTTTCTAAATTCAAGTCATGAAAATATCGTGCAGAGTGCTAAGACCGGAAAAGGCAATTTATGGAAGATTTTGAAGAGAGAGACAAAAAGGGTGAACGGAGAGACAGGGAAATAATTTAAGGAAACTTGTACCATTGGTCTTCAACCTATTGTCTGAATAATAAATTGGGCCTTAGAATTTTAAAAAGAGCAACTTAGTTCCTAATTTTTCATTATTATTTGTCCAAAGAGACCATTCTAATCTCTAAGGACTTCTTATGTGACCATTACCTATACAACCGTAGAAAATTAGATTTTGTTTCTCAACTTGGAACGATAGCAAACAATTAAAAGTGAAGTATATTCTATTCATGACGTAGGATAATTATGAAAAATTTTAACTCCTAAATCTGAAGTATCCTACTTCCATACAATTCACAAGAGTCAAACAAGTAATCGATATGCCAACGAATCCATCCAACCAACAATTAGAATTTTATGCAAGCAATTATTTGTTGAGAAGAAACTAATCCAATTTCTCATGGTAGACGTTTGTATTGATAAAAAATAGAAATAAAATTTTTTAGTTCATTCAAATTAAGCTTCCTTCCTATGAATTCGAATTTCTTTTCCTCAAATACAACGAAATGGTTCAATTTTAAGCTAAAGACGTCATTTGGGATAGACTATGCAAGAATTATTTTACATAGTTCTATTTTGGAGTACTATAATTCCGGCATGAAGAAGTAAGGATGTGTGACTCTGTACAGAATAAAGAGTAGGTTGGAGTTGCTATTTCTTTTTTTGCAGTGTGAACGAAAGAACCAGGACCAACTTTACAATTTTACCTTTAGATTTGGAAAAGGTCATTGGTAAACAACAAATATCTAAACAAATCTAGCTCTTGTTTGAGCCCCATTTTTGTCATAAAAATGCATTTTTGAATAATATATTGATATGAAATGTGTGGCTAAAAAATAAGAAAAAAATTTCGATTTTCGTATAATATTATTTTATTGAAATATGCGTAATTGAAATGATATCAAAACACTGTTTAAAAATATATTATTTTCAAAAGAACGAGCGTAGGTCTTATAATCCATCTGTTTTATTTGACTCTGCCTAATTACTATTCCAGCATGGCCATTATTTTTCAATTCAAACCATTAGACTCTACATTTTTCAAACAAACCCTACAAAATCCCAATTCCCAAGTCAAACAAACATCCATTCTTCGGCTCCTACCATCTTTTTATCACCTTTATATAGAGAGTTCAAGAATTCACAGTTCCATCAACCTTTGCCTTTTGGCCAAAACAATACAAGAAAGATGAAGTCTCATGCTTTTGTATTGGCCCTAAAAGCTTTTTTTGTTATCATCATCTTCTTTCTCTTGATCTCAAATGCTGTGTGCATCAGACCTGTAAAGGATCTATCTTTGTCTGATCCGATAATGGCCGGGTTTAGAATCGAGATGGCGTACTCAGGGCCGAGCCATCGTGGACGAGGGCATTAGATTTCCGTTTCTGTGGAACCAAACTTCGTATAATTGTGTCTCTGCTTATGACATAAAATAACAAGATAGAGTCGTGAATTTTCAGTTAATTTTTTGTCCTAGGGTTTATACTTATACATTTTCTTTCCTTTTTGACAGTTTTTGTACTTTTAGCTGGACATGTGTGTACACATTGGTTGGTTAATGTGAAATTGTGAAATCAATAAGAAGTTACATAATTTTTTATACCTAATCTTTGTTGTCTCTTCTTCCCTCACACCACCACCATCACAAGCGGGTGAGATCAATATATATCTCGATCGGACGGATTTTGAGGTCAACAATAGTGAACAAACTCATTTTCATGAACGTGACAGAGATAGTTAAGGAGCATTTAGCTGCAACATGCGACGAGAAATTCTTCCAAGTTGCCTCCATAGTTTTTTGTCAGATCAGCGAGGGATCCACCAGGTTCGTATTCAAGGAAAGGATTTTAGACCTCCCTAGAACTTATATCTTCTTTAAAACACTGAATGATTTCACTGCAACATCTAAATTCAAACAGAATTTCTCCCTCCTCCTTCAGCCAAGTCGAAAACGGAATAGTGGCGGACTTCACTGAAACAGAAAGATGAGGATCAACCCTTGCTGCCAAATGCAGGGTTCCACAAGAACCTGCACCAAGAATGGTAGATTTATTCCAGCCTTGACCAGAAAATGAACCAGTTTATAGGGAATAATTGAACCAAAATAAGGGTTATAGAGAATTTCTTCTCACCTTCATAGAAAATGATGGGTATCAGTATTTGTTCATTCTACAAATGTGTGGATAAATATTGATTTGACCAAATTGTTTTTTGAATAAAGTGTTTATAAACACATTGAAACAATAAGCAAAATATAGACTAAATTGTAGTATAGATAAATCTCGACTCCGAAAACCACTAAAGAGATAAGAGTTTGGACCTTAATAATATGTAGTAAGTACTTCGGGTTTGGTGAATAACATCCATAACATCAAATTAAAACAAAGAAAATTTTCGTCAAATTCTTGAAGTCTTGTTCGTAAATCAAAATAGTTTGCTTATAAATGGAGATATCTTCGTTACAATGAGAGACTCGTCTCAATTTTGGTAGTAAGAATATCGATTTGAATTATTCAGTCCCTCTTCCTTGTAAAGTTATTAAGGGCACGTTTAGAATTGTTTTTGAGAGGTTAGAAGGAGTTTTTGAGATTCAAAAATTAATTTTTGACCCGTTTGCTTAATTTTACGAGATTGTTTTTTCTAGTTAAAAGAATTTTTAAAGAAAATTAACTCAACGTAGCTTCCTTTAAAAATTCTTTCGAAAGATGAAGATATTTTAGAAATTAGTTGCAAAAGTCCAATTAAGACAATTTTCTTAAAAATCTATATAACAAGAAATAGAAATAAAAGTAGAAGTCCTACCAAATGAATGTTAAAAGCTCATTTGACAAGGTTTTTAAAAGTTAAAAGTTGCTTCTGTTATGAAAATTTTTCTTTTTAATTTGTTAGAATAATTTTGTTGAAGTTTTTATTTGGTTAAAAGAGTTTTTAAGGGAAGCTGATTTAAAATAACTTCTTCAGGGAACTTTCCTATAAGAAGTAAAATAAAAAAATCATGTCAAAAGAGCCCTAATCTATATGAAATATATAGCAGTGAAGAAAAAAAAAACTTTTCATAGTGAGCACTGATTCTAGTTAAAGTGTAGAATATAAGGAAATAGGCATGCTATTAAGGAAACACTCAAGGATCGAGATGGATTTCATTACAAGTTTGCCGGGAGGATGGACCAGAAAAGTCCAACTCCAATTTTGACCGGTGCCCTAATGGAAACAACAAAAGAGACGAAGTTTCCACAGAAGCAACAAGCTCTTCTTGAATTCTAGATTACTTGACTCGAGCTGAATTGAATAATTATTTGTTGCAGACCTAGCTCATGGGCCATCTCAAATCCTTTCTTAATAGCTAGGCTTGTGCTCATTCCACGTCCCCGCAACTAAAGCCTGAAATAATTTTCAATGGCACTCGTGTCACTGATTTTGAATTGGGAGTTGGTGATAAAAGAATTGTGTGAATAAACAAAATTCTACCCCATTTGAAAATGAAAAGATTGAATAAGTCTCGAGTAATGCGATTTTTCAAGTGAAGCGATCGATTCCAAGACTCTTTCATTAAGTTTTAATTTTATTATTATTATTATTATTATTTTTTTTTTTTAAATTTTATGTAAAGTTATCAGATTTTGAACCATTCTCAAGTTTCCTTATTGGTCTATGTTTGCTTGGTCGTTTGTTCATAACAACAAGGTAGCTATAGTATAAGAATGAAAACTCCAACAATGCTTCTTTGTTTGCAACGTGTCTGGTTTTCTTACAATATTGATGCTTAACAAGAAAACAAGGTGATCTACCGAGAGAAAATGAAATTTTAAGAATTTATCTAAAATTTTGTATACGTTGATTTCTCCATCTGCCCCATGTATGAAAGGTTGATGGGCTCGTTTAGCATGATTTTTGAAAAAGTTAAAAAGCTGCTTTTAAGACTAATAAGCTGATTTTAAATATGTTTGAACAATTTTTTAAAAATACTTTATCTGATTAAAATAGTTTTTAGTTGAAGTTGATCTAAAATAGATTCTTCAAGAAACTCTTCTATAAGACGCAAAAGTCCAGCCAAAATGACTCTTAGTTGGCTTTTAATGGGTGACTCAATTGAAACTAAAAATAGAGTTCGCGTGGTGAATTTGAAACAAATTAAAGTGAGGGACTGAAATGAAACGTTTCTAAAAAAGGAGGATAACTTCCAGTGTTTTTCTAATTGGATTAAGCTATGTCGACGCGCCTATCCGCGCGTATTCTCAAAATGAATACAACAATGCAAAATCTGAAACTTCTGGCACAGATTTATCATTTATCCGATCATAACGACTGAACTGCTGTTACTGAGGCCGTTGGAGACCTCCCCTCTGTCCCCTATCCGAATAAAATGGAGCTTTCTGCGGCGTTGAAAGTGGCGCTCTTAAGTAGTCTCCTCCTGTCCGCCGTGAAGTCCGCCGAAGACTTCAACGATACCTTAAACCTCCGGCAAAAGTCACATGTAGCTGGTCTTTGCGCTCAACTCATCGAACCTGCTGGTTTCCCTTGCTCAGAACACAATGTAACCTCTCTGTTTATGTATATGTATTTAATTTACTGGTAAAGTTGCTATTTTGATATTTCTAAATCATATTTTTGTTGGTATTGACTATTGAGTGTTGGGTTTCTTCAACTTTAGTAAGAAGATTGGGTAAAAATGTTTATTATTGTTTTCATATTTAATTAGGTGGTGGCTCCTTTGAAAAAACCAATTCTGAAAATCTGACATAATATTTGAGCTTTGAGCTAATCAAATTGCTTGAGTCATTGGGTTCCATCTTAAAAGTCAATGTTCACTAGGAGTAGACCAAACTCTTATATGTTCATAATTGTTTTGAAATTTAAGCAATATTAATATAACCATAAAAGTTAGGAGTTTAGAACTTGAGTACCAAGAAGTGTTTTTCCTGGCATATAGATCATATAGCATTGACTACTTATATGATGAAGAGTAGCTTTTAATCACCAATATGTAATGTTCATTCCTTTAATCATGATTTGATTAGCCTATCTAATTTTATTTTTGAGCTGTTTTGTCATTTGTGTGGTTAAAAGATAATATTAACATAAGAAAGGTGTATAATCAATTGTTGTAGGCTCAAACAAAAGATGGATTTGTACTGGGACTTCAACGCGTGTCATCTAGTTCTGGAATTCTCAGAAGACAAATGGGCCCTCCTGTTCTGCTTATACATGGACTTTTCATGGTGATTCTTTTCTCACTTGTTCTTCTATTCTCATGGACATAACAAACTTTGAGGCAGAGAGAGAGAGAGAGAGAGAGAGAGAGGAAGAAGAAGAAGAAGTCTCTTCCTTATTTCATTTTTTATTGGACTTGAAACATTTGCATTTTCATCATGTACTAATCTTTATTATCGTGTTTGAAATTTATAATGCAATTTCCTTGATAAATGAGAAGCCTAGGTTAACGTAAATATAGCATTCCATCAATCAAATTGGCACTATTTTATTAGCTTGATGAAGCTTGTTCTCCGTCCTAATTTTATTTGATAGTGGAATTATGTTGCGTGTGATTGTAGCTGTTATTCTCATTTTTACCAACACTGAGGAGCACATACGTACAAAATGCTTACTTTCTAGTTTCTTCGTCCATGCTAGTCATGCATTGACATTTTCATTCCTTCATAAAGGGAAAACTAGCTATGTTTCTTTCAATCGTCTTTCTATTGTGATCAGATTAATGGAATTGTGTTTGCAGTTCTGTGAACTTTATCTCTGACCCTTTTGCATTGACTATTTGCATGATCCACGATTAAATAGGCAGGTGATGCGTGGTTCTTGGATACCCCAAATCAATCCTTGGGCTTTATCCTTGCCAATCGTGGTTTTGATGTCTGGGTTGGTAATGTGCGTGGGACACGCTGGTGTCATGGCCATATATCTTTATCAGAGAAAGATAAGGTACTCCTCGTGCTTTGAAAACCTTTTTCTAGCAAGTTATTCTTACCATTTCAAACATCAGAAGATGGTTCCAACAAACAAAAAAGAAAGACGGGTTTATGTTTAAAGGGTCATTTACTTGCTCAAATCTTTTTTCCGCCTTGTCTACGACATGTTTCAGTTATCTCTGCGTTTCTTAACGAATAATTATAATATATAAAGTAAACCTCCACCATTCATAGGCATCCATTCCTCGTTTCCTGATGATGATATATCAAGCAAACTTGCTCATGACCATTCATCGACATCCATAAAAGTCATTCTTTTCACAACTATTTTAAAGTTATTTTTGGAATGAAAACATAAAAAATTCATATACGTTCAGTTTATTTGGACATGAATTAACAATTAGCACAGTTAAACTTGAGAGGAGAGAAAGCTGAGTAAATCTGTGCCAGAGCATGTGCAGCAATAATGTTTGATGAATTTGTTGACTCTCAAAGCTTGCAAGACAATTACCTGATTTGTCTAAGACACTTTGATCATTTAATGGGAAAACTTCGTGAAACCTTCTTTTTACATGAAGAAGTATTTTATGCATTTCATGTTGGCCAGTGATCTGATTTTCCATTAGTGCCTCTTTCTTTCAGAAATTCTGGGATTGGAGTTGGCAGGAATATGCTCTTTACGATCTCCAAGAAATGATTCGTTATGTATATACAGTTACAAACTCTAGAGTGTTTGTCATTGGATATTCTCAGGTCTTCAATCTCATGATAGCTTGAGTTTTTATTTATTGCGTACAGGACGATATGGTGGTTTGTGATATATCTGCTTCTTTTGTACTTGATAGGGAACAATCATTTCTCTGGCTGCCTTTACTGAACCAGATACAGTACAAATGGTTGGAGCAGCTGCGCTTCTTTGTCCTATAACATATTTGAATCATATGACTGCTCGATTGCCTCTTAGATTAGTTAAAATGCATCTTACTCAGGTTTGTTTGGTGCCCTGATGTCTTTCACGAAGGAAACATTTCCAGTCTTACTGAAAAACAGTTATTTTATTACAGGTTTTACTTGCAGTGGGCATTCATGAACTCAATTTCAAAAGGTCTTTAACTATCTATTTTCTTTACCTGTTCCTTAGTAATAGTTTAGGTTTCTAATTATATTTATATTAGCTTCTGACTTTCTCTGATGATTCATTCAGTGACTGGGGTACTCGCATCATGGAAATGATGTGCGACAGACATGTAGATTGTGGTGACTTGCTATCTTCTATTACAGGTCTTCTAACCCTAACTACTTGTTTCTTTATTTATATTGCTCCTTGTTGAGTGACCTTGTTTGAAAGCTTAAGTTGTAGAAAGGGTACACATGAATACATGTAAATTTAGTCTTCAACACACCCTTACACGTAAAGGATGAATTGCATTTTGTTAGAAAGCCAGGAACATGCACAGTTTTCATTAACGGGTGTGACAAGACTTGAACTCAGGATCTTTGTTAGTGATGATGCCATTTTGAACCACCTTATTTAAAATCTTAAGCTACTAGAGAGGACAAAATTTATGCATATAAATTGTCTTCAATATATCTTTTGGACAAAAAGGTGTGCATTAGAACATTGAATGTGCTCAATCTCTTCACTCCACAAATAATTACACTTTCTGCTAGAAAGCTATCTTGGCACTCATTTGTTGCCAATGACAAAAGCTTAGTCGCTTTGGCGACCCTCATTGTTTTGTAAGAAAGTTTCAGGTGGAATAAAACACAATGAAAGGAAGAGAGTTACTTTGTTATATGATACACTAACGCATGACCTCAAAAATATCGGATTTTCTAGCCACCCAATTATTAGGCCTTTTTGGGACTGTTCTTCAGAAAATATAACCTGAAAGCGTGTGTTATAAATGTATACAGGTGTTTTTAGTAGTATGATTACAGGTGGCTCCACATGTTGGAAAATAGAAAACAAGCTTTTTTGTCACATGAGAAAATATCTTGGTACAGTATTAGTTCCTTTTGACAGGATCACTTAGGGTCCGTTTGATTGTAAATATGGAATTGAATTGAATTGAAAACAAATTTCAAAGAATTGAATTGTCTAGAAATTGTTTTCCTGGAAATTGTAATTTATTATGCTTGATTTGTATAATTTTCTACGTGGAAAATGTTAAAATAAAAGTGTTTTTTGATGTTCGTTTGGTTTTGTTTTATATGAAAATTGTTAATTAAATGGATAAAATTTATTGGTATTGGGTATGGAATTTGTTTCCATTGCCAACCAAAAAAAAAAAAAAAAAAAAAATTCAAGAAAATCATCTATCTTTTGATATTTGTTTGATTTTGTTTTACATGAAAATTGTCAGTTAAAGAAAAATATTTTTTTACAATAATTGTTAGAATTTATTTCCATTGCCCAAAATAAAAAAAGAAAAAATTAAAAAATTGCTACAGTAACCAAGAATTCCAATTCTCACCATTTTGGTGAGCAAGGATTTCATGGAAAATGCTTATGTCGCCAAGAAAGGTGGAATTCATTTTCCATGGAAAATTTCACCTATCAAACACTACAAAAGTTGGAAAATGGTATTGATTTTCCATTTTCCATGGAAAAGGGTGTGCTATCAAACACACCCTTAATTCTTCAATTTACATTTTCTAACATTTTTCAAGTTTTCGGCCGATTCACCAAGGAATATTTTTTTCAACAAACATTCCTAGAAATACCACAATAGAGCCATTTTCTAATTCTATAGCATATGGGCTCATATGTTAGACAACTAAAAATAATGTTTTAGATGTTCCAGAAGTGGCATTAATACTTTAATATCCTTACTCATTCCCTTAAGATTGAAATGATTGAATGACAAATTTGGAATATTATTCTTGTGATAATATCAGTTCTGCATGGAAGGAATCCTTTTGAATGTTCTGAACTATTCATTCTGTAGCATCTTAAAACAATTTTCACTTATTCCATCTCCCATAGGTGCTACTTTCAATACAGTTTAGGTCACATTTCTGATCTTATGGTTTGTTGTCGAGGTAGACTTTGACCAGTGAAAATATTTTATATTAGTGGTTTAACCCACTATGCTATAAAAATATGGCCAGTCTTGACTGCTTTGCTCTTTGTCAGGTGTTCTATCTTAACAAAATACCTAGTCAAGCCTTACTCTATAATCTTGTTGCATCGATTAAAACAACATTGTCAGCACATAGCTTGCACAAAGGAACCTTACTTTGAACATAAATGGTAGCTTTTGTTAAAGGAATAACATTTTCGTAGAAAATGCAATTTTGTCAACTGACATCTTTGTGGTATTGTGATGGATGTTGCTCCAGAACCGACTGCTTCTTGAAAATAATGTGGTTGGCACCGGACTCTGCACTTATGTTTGTGATATTTGCTTCAAATGACTTTAAGCTTACCGAATCAGTTATTACATGCAGGGAAGAATTGTTGTTTCAATAGCTCTCGGATTGATTTCTATCTTGAATATGAACCGCATCCATCATCTACAAAAAATTTGAATCATCTCTTTCAGAGTATGCTTTGTTCTCTTTGTTCCACACTCGCATTGCATATTTTATCTTCATTTTCTCAAGGGCTTTCCCTAACTTACTATCACCCAGCAAAAGAAAAAAGTAAATAAAAGAACCCTGAGAGGAGAAATGGTCATTTTGTTCCGATTGGGGCACTGAACGTAAAAGTTTATTAAGCCTCTCTTTGAGCCCCATTAATTTGAAGAGATGTATTTTGGAATAGTGATTGATGGAAAATATGTGGTTAAAAAAGATGAAAAAGTTTTTTATTTGCATGTAATATTATTTTAATGAAGAATGTGGTTAAAAATGAGTTCCGTAGAAAAAATCATGGAAAAGAATGTAAAGTGAAGGATGACAAACAGTGGCTAAAATTTGACCATTTTGTTCACATCCGTGAGAAAGAGACGCGGCAAGGTTTTACGTATTAAGCCAGCAGCTTTCTTATCTTGCTTAGTTCGACTTACGTAAAGACTGATATGGCAGTCCAGTTGGCTAATACCTAGACTGCGAAGTCACCCTTGCCATTAGTCAGAGTAATGGATATAGACAGAATGAATATATTGTAACAAAGTTTTTCAGTGACCACCAGTATATCTAACCCGTAAGAAAGGTTTTGCCCCTCAATTCTTATGTTTGTATCGATTCTCCTGCACAGGTACAGCTGTCATACTTGCCAATACGTTTCTTTTTATCTTCTTGCACTAATGCTGTTTCACAATTTTGCTGACAGTGATCCGAAAAGGTACTTTTGCGAAGTACGACTATGGATTTTGGAAGAACTTGAAGCACTACGGCCAACTGAAGCCACCAAAGTTCGATCTAAGCCAAATTCCCAGTTCATTACCATTATGGATGGGGTACGGGGGAAATGATGCCTTAGCAGACGTCACAGATTTGCAGCATACTCTCAAGGAATTACAATCAAAGCCAGATTTGCTCTATCTTGAAAATTATGGTCATCTAGATTTCCTTTTAAGCACAAGAGCAAAGGAAGATGTTTATGACAAAATGCTTGCATTTTTCGATTCATTGGGAACACACAGCAGTTACTAAATGTTGGATCGGGGAGGATCGGAGAGTCTTGATAGTATTAAGGAAGAAAATTTTACTCTTGTTCACTCTTGAAGTGAACTTGCACATAGGGGTTGTATACTTGTATAATTGTGTGTAAATTGTACGCATTATGTTTATGATGTAAATATAATTTCATATTTTCCACGGATTACTTATTTTCAGCGTCTGTACACTAGCATTGTAAATAACTTTATAATGGTAACACTCTGCCACAAAAATTTTAATTAATATCTTAAAGTTCTTAATGTTTTTATGTTTTCCTATCTGCATTTTATTTGAGACATCAATTACATAAAATCATTTGGAAACGTTAATTTTCTGTGACATATTATCCATTTTTCTTAGAACTGATTCAGCATTTAATACAGATTACATCCATCTATACCAAAATATATAAATTTGCATCATTTTCGGCCCACAATTTAGTTAAGAATAAGAGTAAAGCTATTTATGAGCATTGTTAATGATCGTCTATCACCAATAAATTTGACATTGAATTAGCTTAACACTATTTTATGACTAAGTATGCATTTCAACTTCTTCGAAATGTGGTAATGGAATTGGTCAATCGTCAACACTGCAAATGAATAGAAGTCATAAATTAGATGAAATGTGGAGTCAAATGTTTCAAAAATTTCTCGACTTATATTATGGTCACGGAGTCCTCCTTAAACTTTAATTTACTTCATGTGCTCACTAAACTTTTTTTCGTTAGCACTCTATCCATCACTGTGATTAGGCATATTTTTAATGGGTGTGAGATGTCACATCCAATATTCGCCATCCACGTCACGTATAAGGAAATGGACTTTTTAGGGTGATAAAATGAAGTTTTGACGGAAAAAGTTTTGTGAGCGCTGTGAAGCAGTTTAAAATTCAGTGATCATTCCATGACTATGGTATAAGTTGAGTGATTTTCGAAATTTTCGATAAAATTTGACTGATTTATAATTTTAAAAAAAAAATAAATAAAAACTCTGTGAAAGAATAAGGTTCTGGAATAGATAATTTAACCAAATATCACAAAATTTAACTGGTGTTACTAAAGTTGTTGGAGATTGTTAAAGATATAAAATATTGAAATTGAAATATTGTTTAGGATTATTTCTCATAATAATTGATTGTGTAATTATTACACAATCTTTCTTATTAGGTTCTTTCCTTTTATTATTATTCATAACCTTATAAATAGAGTTCTCTACTTTGTAATATTTACAAGATCATAATAATAAAATTTATTTTTTTTTGACATGGTATTAGAGAGGGTTTAATTTGGTCTTGGGCTAAATTTGCAAGCTTCCGTTGTGTAGCAAGCAAACTTGTGCCGCTCGTTCGGTCATACTTTTTTTCTGACCAACCCTTTTTTTCTAGAAAAGAATTTTTTTATTTTTTTTGGATTCAAGTCATAAGAAAACCATGAAGCAATCTGTCGTCCCTCCAGAATTATTTATGAGCAGCCTTTATCAAAGTTGGTGATCTAGTCGTCAAGAATCAGGAATTTATTGAGACGACAGGTGTGGGTGCCATCTTTAAAGTGATATTTCTCTGTTCCATGTTGATGATAAAGGTGTAATTTTTCAGTTAAAGGTGGTCCTCCAAAGCAAATCATGGAAATTCGAGAATATAAACTGCCGGCTGCTGAAATTTGTTACACGTACACACAGGGAAATTGGTGGCTGGAATTAGTAAACTGGTGGCTGCAAGTGCATTAGCAAATGACAAAAAAAGGCTCTTCTTTCGTGTCTGAAGCTGCCCATCTTAATTTTAGAAAATGCCATAAGTTCAGACATGCTGGAAAGACGTAAAGATTTGGTACAATCCATCATCACCTTCTAAACAATGGGAAACTGTAGACTTGACCCATATACTTGGTTTCAGTGAAAAGCTGGCTGGCTCTCTTATTTTTGCAAATTTTATTCTTCTCCTAATTCTTCTCCTATTTTAATGTTTTAATTTTCTTGGGTTAAAAAAATAAATAAATAATTGAAGGGTCGGTACCTTGAATTTTACCGGCTCTTTCCCTGCCCTTAAACAAACAAGGGGTTTTCTTGTGTTAAAAAATAAAATTTGGAGAGTCGATACCTTGAATTTTACCAGCACTCCCCCTACCTCTTAAACAAACTAAAGGTTTTGTTTTGTTGAAAAAAATTAAAAAAAAAAAAAAACTTTGAAGGATTTGTACCTTGAACTTTATCGGCTCTTCCCCTGTTCCTTGAAAAATTCAAGGGTTTTCTTTTGTTAAAAAAAAAATTAAAAAAAAAAAAGATTATGTTTTTCTTTTCTTTTCTTTTTTTTTAAAAACTTTTTCCACCCAAAATTTTTTATTCCAAATTTGAAAAATTATTGGATTTTTGGTTTGATATCTACCATTGTTGCGGTTTTTTTGTTGAATGCTTCCCCTCAAGTGCTTGGAGTTCATTCTACGTTTATTTCGAAGATTTGATTGGATCAATTTTTTCAAACTCAATATTTTACACCATATTGAGTTTGATGGGAGGGTGATAAAGATATGGAAATTTAAAGATATGAAATATTGAAATTGAAATATTGTCTAGGATTATTTCTCATAATAATTGATTTTGTAATTATTACACAATCTTTCCTATTAGGTTTATTTCCTTTTATTGTTATTCATAACCTTGTAAATAGGGTTCTCTATTTGTAATATTTACAAGATCATAATAATAAAATTTATTTTTCTTGATAGCGATCTTCCCACCGGAAACACAAAATAAAAGTGGAGCCTTCTGCAGTTTAGGTGGTGGTGATGATGGTGGCGTTGTTCAGTAGCGCCCTCCTATCCTCCGTCGAAGACTTCGCCAACGCCTCAAACCTTCGGCGACCTGAAGCTGGGCTTTGCGCTCAACTTATCGAATCTTCTGGCTTCCCTTGCTCGGAACACAAAGTAACATCTCTGTTTATAAATTTATATTATATTTACTGGTAAAGTTCTTATGTCTACTTCGATTTGTCTAAAGTAAATTCTTGTTAGGAATTAGAATTTATGGGTGCCATTTGTTCTTATTTAGAAGTGTTTTTCCTGGCATAGTGATTATTTAGCATTGATTATGTGAATCAATATGACGAGGTATATGTTGAATAATCGATCTTCAATTGGGGGATTTTTCGGACTCAGGATATCAATCTCAACCTTCACAACACCTAACCAAATCACGACCCAAACCTCGAACTTTCTTCCATACTCTAGTTACTTTACCTTGTACCCACTATGGACACAAAAATGACGGTGTTTTTCAGTCACAAAGGCTATGAAGAAACAAGAAGAAAATTGGCTGAGAGAGCACAAAACAAAAAGTCAGAGAGTTTTCTTCCAAGGCAAGACAAAACACACTTGAGTTACAATCTATGATGCTCGGACTCGGGTGCGGGTGTCGGATACGGGTACATATCTAGGAGTGAGATTCTTCTCATTTTAAAAATTAAGGTATAGGGACACGTTTAAAAAGTATCCGAATTTTGGACACCGGTATGGGAATACGTCTTATAATTTTTTGCTTAAAAAATTGAATCAATTAAAGCAAACAACTACAATATTAAAGCAAAACAGCAAATTACCACAATACAAATGTTTCATTTAATAAAATCCAAATTCAAACAAAACACAATTGAAAATAAAGTTAAACATCCAAAATGTCATAACATAAAAAGTAAAAAGTTTTCCACTTGAAATAAAACTAAACAAGCATTCCCGATCAAGCTTTACTCTTCTTCTTCATCAAACGTAATTGCCTCCAATTCTAGCTCATCAAGGGATAATTCTGCCATCTCAATGATACCTTGTCGATCTAATTCAATTTGATCTCCACCTACAAAAAATATAGATATATGAATATTAATGTGAAAAAATTAGATATCTAAAAAAACAAAGAATATAAGTATATGTTATACATACACAAATCCCAATATTTTGTTGGCCTATCTTTGTACTCCTCTTCTTTTCGTGACAAGAGTCGAAGATTACAATGAACAAATACCAAGTCTTCCGCCCTACTAGTCGCTAGCTTGTTTTTCTTGATACTCTGGATGAGTGAATATGTGCTCCAATTTCGCTCACAACAAGAAGAGGATTCCAGTTGCAAGAGCAATTTAAATGCTAGAGATTGCAACAAAGGTACTGAAGAACCATGATTGGCCCACCAAGAGATTGGCTCTTCGTACATTCTTGCATCAATAAAATGGGGCTTATTGAAATACTCCGATCTACTAGAAAAAGACTCAAATTCAGCATATGCTTTCCTCAAGTCAACTGGATTTTCAAACAACCTTTTGAAGTATTTGCTTCTATTCATTGAAACTTCTTGATCTTCATGTGGTGCAATTCTTGGAACACCGTTACTACCATCTTGAAGCCAAGATACATTATAATACTTAGGAACCAAAGAGTGTGCCATACAATGCAATGGAGTGTTACTCTTATTCCATCTACTCTCCAAAACTTGGTGAATAGCATCAAAAAAATTTGAATGCCCAGAAATTAAATCTATCCCTTCGTGCTCAAATACTATCTTTTTCACATTTTCAACCATTGTATCCCACATATCATATATTAAATGTAAAACTGGAGAATCGGTATCAGTGACTCGTAATATATTATAAATAGGCTCCGTGAAAGATAAAAAATAATCCAAATTATCCCACCAAACATCATTTGCTGTACACGTTTTCACTTATTGTGAATTGCCTTCATTACTTCCATCCCTAAAAATTCTCCAATCCGAATCCATCACCATTTTTTTCAAAGGCTGGCCTAACTTCTCTTAACCATTTACTCATTACAATAGCAGATGCAAATCTTGTATCAGCCACCCTCAACAAACACAACTTAGAATATTTATTGTATATAGCTAATGCCATTTCATGATTAACAATAAATTATGAATGTTTTCCGCATCACTCACCAAATCAGCAATCCACTTACAATATGCATATTGTGGTGATTTTTCAGATGGATCACATATACTTTTCAAAGCCAAATTCAGACTATGTACCATACAAGGAGTCCAAAAGATATGAGGATACATTATTTCAATGCTTAACTCAACAACTTTATAGTTGCTTGCATTGTTTGTTATAATTTGAACAACATTTGAGCTTCCATTTTACTTGATTGCATCAATAAACGTTATTGCCACGTATTCTCCATCTTTTATATTTCCACTTGCATTAATTGCTTTAATAAACATGGCTCCACCTGCAGATGCTCCCATTA